ATGCCTTTGGAAGTGGTGGCTGGATGTGTTCACAGCATTTGGGAATTATATCTCTTAGGATACATTTAATCAATAATTGTCTGCCCCACTAAGCCCCAAGCTCCATGATGACTGGGAATGTAGACTTCAAAGTGTAAAAAATCACAACCTTATTTTTTTTTTTTTTGAGAGAGAGAATTGTTAGTATTTATTTTTTAGTTTTTGACAGACACAACATCTTTGTTTGTATGTGGTGCTGAGGATCGAACCCGGGCCGCTACGCATGCCAGGCGAGTGCACTACCGCTTGAGCCACATCCCCAGCCCCTCATAACCTTATTTTAAAAAGAGGGGGAAGAACCCTAGTTCATCAGGAGCATTTTGGATGTGACTGCTCCTGCTCAGGGTTTGACCCAAGCAGGACAAGGGAGAACAGGTCATGTGAACAAGGGTCACTGGTTGTGCCATGCAGGGCTTCTCAGGCCCAGAGAGCCTCCAGAACCATGCTTATATAGACTTTGAGCCCAAGGATGGTGTTTGGATCTTAAATATCCTCCCGTCACTAGCCTGTGGAGCTGTTGGGGTGGTAGCAACCTCAGTAGGAAGGGCCTAAAGGAAGGAATTAGTTTACTGGGGGTGGGGTATGCCGCTGAGAGGGATATTGGGATCACAGCCCCTTCCCATTGGTTTCTTTTCTTCCTAGCTGCTGTGAGTTTGAACAGACCTCCTCTATCATGTACTCCCACCATGATGACCAGTACCACCTAGGCCCAAAGCAACAGGGCCAAGTGACCACAAACTAAAATCTCTGAAACCATGAATTAAAATAAATCTTTCCTCCTTTTCAGTTGTTTAGGTCAGGTATTTGTCCCAGCCACAGAAAACTCACAGTTGGAGAGGTAATACTGCAAGAGCTCAGTAACAAATGTATCTCAACATGATTCAGGAATGGTTACGTCTGACTTGACACCCCTTCCACTTGCACACGAACCCCAACCTTACCCGAATCACTCCCTCCAGCCTGAAAAGGTGCTATGACACACAAAATTTTACTAAGTAAATCAGAGGTCATGATGGAATGTGATAATCATTAAAAATAACATCTGGCCAGGCATGCTGGTGTGTGCCTATAGTTCCAGCCACTCAGTTGGGAGGATCACTGGAGCCCAGGAGTTCAGGGCCAATCTGGGCAACATATCCAGATCCTTTCTACAAAAAAAAAAAAAAAAAAAAGAAAAGAAAAGAAAAGAAAGATAAAAAAAGAAAGAAATTACACAGGAAAGGGCTGATCTAATAGTAAATGAGAAAAGAGTAAGATATAGTCTTATAGAAAACACGCCTGTGATCCCAATAGCTCCCAGAGGCTGAGGCAGAAGGATCATGTGAATTCAAGGCCAGCCTCAGCAATTTTGTGAGGCCCTGAGCAATTTAGCAAAACCCTGTCTCAAAATAAAAAATAAAGGGGCTGGAGTTGTGGCTCAGCGGTGGGGCACTTGCCTAGCACGTGCGAGGCCCTGGGTTCGATCTTCAGAACCACATAAAAATAAATAAAAATAAAGGCCCAGCTACAACTAAAAAATAAATATTAAAAAAAAAATAAAAAGGGCTGAGATGTGGTTCAGTGGTTAAGCACTTCCAGGTACCCCCCCCAAAAAAAAGACTGGAAAAAAAAAGGATGAAAGTAATATTCCAAAATGTTAAGGTGCTGTTTCTGAGAAGTAGGATTATTTTCCTTTTTGCTATTTTGAGAATTGAAAACAAAATTTTTCCAGTACTGGAGATTGAACCCAAGGGCATTCTACCACTGAACTACAATCCAATTCTTTTCTATTTTCTTTCTTTCTTTCTTTTATTTATTTTTTCTTAAGTGTTGAGGCAGGATCTCACTAAGTTGCCCAGGCTGGCCTCAAACATTTTATCCTCCTGCCTCAGCCTCCCCAGTAGCTGTAATAAGAGGTGTCCACTACTGTTCCTGGCTAACCTGAAGACTTCATGGTTAGCACTTCCATTCCCCAGAATCCCCCACAAACAGGCTGACTAGATGGTTTGCTGTCCAAACCAGGACACTTTCCAAAGTGAAATAGGCCCCTGGGTCAGCAGCAATAAACCAGAACATAGGCAAGTAAATCAGGCTTGCAGTCATTGTGCCCCAAACCAATTCCAGCAGAGTGGACTGGGGTGTGGCTCAGTGGCAAGGCATTTGCTAGCATTGTGCAAGGCCTGGGTTCAATTGTCTGTCAGCACTGAAAAAAAAAAAAAATCCAATCCCAGCAGCACCTCCACCTCCTCTACCCTCTGCCCCTGTGCATTCTGTGTCCTAAACTGTCATTTTGTGGTCGAGAACAGATCCAAATCTGGGCTGGCTTGTTCTCTGCTCCTGGTCACTTCACAGAAAGTTAGTGGATGACTGCTGTGCTCAGACTATCAATTAAATATTGACTAGTTAACCTAATTATCAAATGTGCAGAAATGTTCATCCTCCTTGATGGAAAAAGCCTGGGTCTGCCTTACCCTGAAGATGTTAAGTGGGACTGCCGCTCAAGGGACCCTGAGAAATCAAAGGACAGCTGGTAAGTCATGAAGAGTTGCTGGCGTGACATAGGGCAGGGCCATCCCTGTGGCTGGGGCATCTCGGTATCCTGCAGGCTCAGTGAAAGGACATGAAAGGATGAAGAAGACAACTGAAGGGGCTGTCCTAGGGGCTGTCCTAGACACTGAGATGGGTTGTGGGTCTCAACTTGCAGAAGAAACATTGCTAATTAATTGCCATTTTATAGGTGAAAAAAGTAGAGAGGTGAAGTGACCTGCCTTTGAATCCTAAGCTGAGTCAGATATTGCTTAGACCAGACGAGAAGCTGGCTTTGCCAGTCTTGGCCCATCATGGAGTAAGAACTCAACTGATGTGCTGAGGAGTGGACGGACAGACACACCCCTCACGGGCCGGCTGGGGAGTGAGGGGGATGGATTGGTGGTGAATGGATGAGCCACAAGGAGGTTGGATTGATGATGTTAGGCAGGTTACTCAGTTCCTAAGCTAGCTCTTGAGTAGAATTCACAATTGCTTGTCTTTTCGTATCTGTAATCTCATCCAAAAGCTACTTTCTTATTTGTGAATCTAGGCCCCAATTCAGACTCCACAGTCCCATAAAAGGGAAATAAGCTTCTCAAATGTTCCCTAAGACTCCTCTGTATCTCCAGAATTCCACGTAGTCCATGTACCATCATCAGACTCCCAATCCTATCATATTTTTTTCTCTTCTTCCTGCCCCCCATTACTTGGTTCTACTGCCCAAGTATCTCTAGGATGCATCCTCTCCTCTCTATATTTTCTGTTCCCACCTTAGTGCAGCCTCACATTTCTTCCCTGGACCTTTTAACTGGTCTCTCTGTTTCTAGATCTCCTCTATTTATATTATTTTGGGGGATACTGAGGATTAAAGGGGTGCTTTACCACTGAGCCACATCCCCAGCCCTTTTTAATATTTTATTTAGGGCTGGGGATGTGGCTCAAGTGGTAGCGCGCTCACCTGGCGTGCATGCGGCCCGGGTTCGATCCTCAGCACCACATACAAACAAAGACGTCGTGTCCGCCGAAAACTAAAAAAATAAAATAAATATTTAAAAAAAAAATAAAGTACTTTAAATTTAAAAAAAAATATATTTTATTTAAAGACGGGGTCTCGCTGAGTTGCTTAGGGCCTCTCTAAGTTGCTGAGGCTGGCTTTGAACTCACGATGCTCCTGCTTCAGCCTCCCAAACTGCTGCAATTACAGGCGTACACCACTGCATCCAGCTTAGATCCCCTCCTTTTTGATACATCACAACCCCATCCCAGAGAAATCAATCTAAAATGCAGATAAAGTACTTCTCAGTCTGGCCAGTGGCTTCACATTCTCACAGTCTTGAAAGAGGGGCCTATTACTGACCTAACCAACTCCATTTTGTCCTTCTCTGACCCCTTTTGCATTTTTAACACCCCCTGCCTCTGAGTCACTTTCTTCTGCAGTTATCTTGCATTCCAGGAACAACAGGCATTGTTGATAAGCATCTTTATGACTTGGGACCCAAACTACCCCCAAGCAACAGTGAGTCTCTCAGAACAGATCATTCTATGATGAGATTGTCCCTCTAAGCGGCAGCAGTGACCCCATGACAAAACCAGAACTGCCCCCCTAAGTGGGAGCCTGATTGCCTGCTCAAGCATTGATGTCCTTCTCAAAGCTTCACAGAACCAGTCCTGAGATAATGATCAACCAGTCCTGACCAACATGACCTACCCTGCCAGATATGAAACCACCATCCCCCCCACCCCACCATGCAAGTCCCCAACCCTTCCCTTTGTTCCCTTTGTTTTTGTTGTTTGTTTGTTTGTTTGTTTTTACAAAGCTGAAAGTTTCTGTCAATTCCTTGAAGACAGATCTTTGGTTCCTGTGTTCTTGTCTCTGTTCTTCCTGGCATGGCCACACTTATTAAAGCTCTTTTCCTGCCCTTCACCGCAGATCCTCTCTTTGATTGGCATATTGGGATGTGTGGCAGAGCCTGGGACCACTGGGGCTGGGGTCTTCTCCCAAGGACTCTGTATAACAGTCTCACATCTTGGATCCATGGTCAGGCACCGGAGACCTCCACAAGTCAACACCCCAGCCTCTCTGGATTTATCTCCTGGTGCTTCCTCCCTCCCATATTCCTTCTCTCAGACATCACAGACGTCCCAGAGATAGTCCCACAAACTCCCCAGATGCATGAAAAGGCCACAGGATGTTCACTTTCTGGGGCGCCACTCTCTGGGGAGTCCAGTGAGGACAGGAAGGAAGGGAAGGAGCGGGAGCTACCTAATCTCTCTCAGGACCTTGAGAACAAGGTGTATAGGGGCGTCAGTGTCTGTGAGTGGGAGCAGGGGATGTGTCTGCACCCTGTCTGGGTGAGTGTCTGTGTGGAGGAGGGACAGCCTGACCACAGACTCCCCCTGCAGAGTTGACGATTAGCAATTAACTGTGAGGAATCTAAGGGGTGAGGTTAATCGGGAAACAGAGGGAGGGTAGCTAGGATTCTAGGGACTTTGCCCTTGACCCAAAGGTATAAAGAAGAGGGTCCCAGCTCCTCCTTAGGCCCCTGCAGGCTTCTTTGAGCTGGAACTGGAGCTGGAACAAAGAACCTCAAGGTGAGTCTAGGAGCCCCACATCCTACTCCTACTACCCCCTCCCCAACTCTTAGGAAGTAACCATCACTCAGCCCTGTCTCTGTTCTCTCTGTGATCCCATTTCCTGCTTCCAGTAACATCCCAGTCCCAGCCCAGCCGGCCTCACTCCCCCAAAGTAAAAAAAAAACTCATGCTTTTCCTGGGTTTGATTTGTTTTCTTTTGTTCAGGGAGCTATAGTCCCAGCTCTCTTCTGGGGTTTGAAATTCAGCTCTGCACCCTCCCCTGCTTGGATAGTCAAGGGCCTGGGGAACAATGGGGCGAGATGCTGAGGCAAGCTGAGGTACCCCACCCCGGTAGCCAGGAGCTCCTGGGACAGTGCAGGGGGTACCTTAGAGAGCTCCTGGTCTGAGCCTCATTTGTGGAAAAAGACTCTCAGTAGTTGTTCATTGCCACTTGGGGGACAGAAGTGCATGGTAAGGGGAATCCAGGACTTTGGGATCCAGGACAGGGAACCACAGACTCAAGAGTGTGCACTTCTGATCCCATGAGCCTGTAGGTATCCATGGTTTGTCCTTGCTCTTAGGATGGAAAAATATCCTGCATGGCCCCGCCCTGGCCCACACAGGCAGCCTCTGCTGACACTGCTTGTTCCCTGGCTCTCTCTAGCTTGTGTATGGCCACCATCCCAGTTCCTGGGCTCCTTCCCCATGCACACCTGCACTTCTTCCTCTGCGTCCAGTTATCTCAGCTTGATTGTTTCTTTGTTCCCCCATGAGCCCACAACTGCTGGGGTACTCTAATCTTATCTATCAAAACACCCCTTGCCATTTTCCATCCACTGAGAGATTAATTCATTTATGTCTGCTTCCCCATTAGACCTTAAGCTTTCTGAGGGCAGAGGCTGTTTCTGTCTTGAATCACCACTGTACCCCAGCATTTAGTTCACAGCCTGGATAGAGTAGATGCTCAAAAATAGCTGCTGGACCTTGGGAGGCCGAGGCAAGAGGATTAAAAGTTTGAAGCTAACCTGGGCAATTGAGCAAGACCCTGTTTCAAAATAAAAAGGGTTAGGGACACCACTTAATCATAAAACACCCTCGAGTTCATCCCCAGTACTATTGTCATCATCATCATCATCATCATCATCAATAATAATTCTTCCTGGAGCTAAGGATGCACCTCAGTGGTAAGAGCACATGCCTAGCGTGTGTGAGGCCCTGGGTTCAACCCCCAATACCACATACACAATATAAAACTTGCTGAATGAATCAATAGATGCCCATATTTGTGCTGAGCTCCTGAGGTGCATTTCTGGCTTTGTCCAGGAAGAGGTTGGGTAGCACCACACACCATGGGTGTTCGTGCATGTGCATCTACATGTGTGTGGGTGTGAGTATCCAGGACACAGCAATTGTCCCTCACATCACTGCTCCCTGACATGCAGGTATCCAGGATGATGTCCTATGGAGAGAGGCTGGGGGCCCCTGCCGTCTCCCCACTTCCAGTCCGCGCAGGGCACATGGTACACGGGGCAGCCTTCGCCTATGTGCCCAGCCCACAGGGTGAGTGCTGTTCCCACACCCCGGACCCCGCTTGCCCACAGTTGCCCACATCCTGGGTGAGGTCCCTAACCTTCTACCTGCTCTTTCCATCCCTGGGCTGCTGGGGCCTCTGGTAACTTCTGACCAACCTCAGTCCTGCACAGGATCCCAGGGACATCTGCCTATGCCTTCCCCAGCCTGAGCCCAGTGGCCCTCACAGAGCACAGCTGCCCCTATGGGGAGGTCCTGGAGTGCCCTGACCCACTACCTGCCAAGCTGGCCCTGGAGGAGGAGCAGAAGCCAGGTGGGCCAGGTGGGGGGATGGCAAGGGCATGGGCAGTCACTGCCTTGGTCCCTGGTCCACTTTGCTCATGCCTGGCCCACCTCCAGAGCCTGGGCTGGCCCAGAAGCTGCGCCAGGCTGGTGTGATGCTCCTCAAGGTGCCGCTGATGCTGGCCTTCCTCTACCTCTTTGTCTGCTCCCTGGACGTGCTCAGCTCAGCTTTCCAGCTGGCTGGAGGTAGGGCCTGGGTGGACAGGGATGGGGAAGGGTATTGGAAGGACCTCAGACAATGCTGGCTTGTGCTTCCTAGGGAAGGTGGCTGGTGACATCTTCAAGGACAATGCCATCCTGTCTAACCCCGTGGCGGGACTGGTGGTAGGGATTCTGGTGACCGTGCTGGTGCAGAGCTCCAGCACGTCCACATCCATCATTGTCAGCATGGTCTCCTCTGGCTGTGAGTTGGCCCAGCAGGGCTAGGAAAAGAGCCTGGGGTCCGGGTGGCCTGGGCAGGGGCTAGGGAAGCATGTCAGGGCTGAGGGATAGGGGCAGGAGCAGGGACAGGGAACTGAGGACAAAGGGCAGGGTTCCAGCATCTCCTACTCTGTCCTCTAAAGTCTGGCCAAGAATCTGAGCCAGAGGGGGTACCCCGGGAAGCTGGGGAGGGGAGCAAATGGAGAGCTCATCTTCATATGGCCACACAGTCATGCATTGCATCAGTGAGAGAAACCAGACCTATAGGAGATATATATATATATATATATATATATATATTTATTGCAGAGAATTGGCTTACATAATTGTGAGGCTAGCTGGTCAGGTCTGAAAACCACAGGCAGGCTATCTGGAAGGTCAAACTAGAATTCTTAGGCAGAAGCCAACGCTGTAGTCCACAGGTAGGAGTTCTTCCTTGGGGAAGCCTCAGTTTGTGTCTTCAGGCCTTTCATCCCATTGGATGAGACTCACCTAGATTATCAAGAATGATTGTCTGAGGCTGCGGTTGTGGCTCAGCGGTAGAACATTCACCTAGCATGTGCGAGGCCCTGGGTTCGATCCTCAGCACCACATAAAAATAAATAAAATATAGGTATGGCATCCAACTACAATTAAAAAATAAATATTTTTAAAAATAAAAGGATGATTTTCTTTACTTAAAGTCAGCTGATTATAGATGAGAATCACAGCTATGAAATAGCTCTACACCCAGATTAGTGCTAGACTGAATAAATGGGTACTATAGACTAGCCAAATTGACATAAAGCCAGCCATCACTCCATGTGTCTGTGCATACACAAGCACAAATATATATTTGCATATGGCACATGAGTCCTCATAATACACTCTCACACATGCACCCATTCGCCTCTAGTCACACGAGTGCAAGACACACACTTGGGAATACACAACACGTGCCCATATGGACCTGTGGCCTTCCGTCTTGGCAATCAACAGTATGGCAGGAAAGGCTGTTTGGGGCTGGGACGTGGGTCATGGGTCTGGCAGGAGCGCCTGTGGGTGTGAAGCTAGGTGGCACCCACCCAGTTGGCTAAGAGGTTCCTGATTCTCCCAGTGCTGGAGGTGAGCTCTGCTATCCCTATCATCATGGGCTCCAACATTGGTACCTCTGTCACCAACACCATCGTGGCTTTGATGCAGGCAGGAGACAGAACTGACTTCCGGCGGTGAGGCGGGGGTGGGGTGGGGTGGGGGGGACTAGGGTGGAGACTTATGCTTGTGGTGGCGGTGGGGGGCAGACAGCCCTGCATGCCCAGAGCCCCAGCACGAGCACACCCAGGCTCCAGGCTGCCCTGCAACGTAGCCTCCCTGTCCAGGGCCTTCGCGGGGGCCACAGTGCACGACTGCTTTAACTGGCTGTCCGTTCTGGTCCTGCTGCCCCTTGAGGCTGCCACGGGCTACCTGCACCATGTCACTGGACTTGTGGTTGCCTCCTTCAACATCCGTGGTGGCCGTGATGCCCCTGACCTTCTCAAGATCATCACGGAGCCCTTCACAAAGCTCATTATCCAGGTGGGGGCCAGAGCCTGACATGGGTGGAGGATAATAAGGGCCCTCACCCTTACTCCCTCTGCCCTCATCTTGCCCACAGCTGGACAAATCTGTGATCACCAGCATTGCCACAGGGGATGAGTCCCTGAGGAACCACAGTCTCATCCGAATCTGGTGCAACCCAGAACCTTTGGAGGTGAGTCTCAGACTTGGACTATTGGTTTCAATAGACCTTGGGGATCATTTAGCCAGAGTATACATGTGGCACTTTTTCTGTGACACTCTGCCTATGGCAGACATTGTGAATCCCCCCAATCCTCACACACTTCTTCAGGCAGACATCACCAGTCAATTAGAGTTGGCATATAATTGATCTAGCCCAGTGATTCTCAAAGTGTTTTCTCTGGGCCAGCAGCATCAATACCACTGGGGAACATATTGGAGATGCAAAGTAGATGCAAATCAGGTGCATCTGATATACACCCTACCTTGGACCTACTGAATCAGAAAACTCAGGGTGGGGCCCAACAGTCTATGCTTCAACAAACCCTCTGGGTCTGCTCCATGCTCAAGTTTGAGAACCACTGATCTAGTTCAACCCTCTGGTTTCACAGGTAGAGACACAGGCTCAGAGAGGCTATGAAATTTGCCAGAACTTGTCCTACTCGGTCAGAGCCCAGAGTGTACCAGTGGGGTTAGTGACTCAGCTCTACCATGTTTTGGGGCCCAGGCAATGAGGGGAGGGAGTGGGAAGAGTAAGATGAACAGGAATTTGGCTCGGGAGCAGGCCAGGCGAGCTGTTGCATGGAGACTACCTTGGAGACACAGTAGCCACTTTTGCTGGCATAGGGGCTCCTTCTGGAGACAGTCACAGGTATGAGCCCCTTATGCCTTTGCACAGTTTCTGATGCCTGGAATAAAAAACTGTTCAGATTGGTTGGACACTCATGAACCAGCCATTATACCAGGCTAACAGGACACAAGCAATTAGCACACTTTCTTACTCAGCCATAAAAAGGAAAATGCTTCATCCAAACCGTGATCTCCCAAATTTGCCTCTGAATTGCTGCATATAAGGAGTGACGCCATTTAGAACAAGCTACAAGGAAATCTGAAGCACACAATACAAGCCCTTTGCCCTCATTCTCTCCACTTACTACTTGATGTTACTGGACCTTTATCCCAGCATGAACAGAAAGCACTCAATCGAGTGGCCCTACAGAGTTCCTTTGCATCTGAAGTGGCACACAGCTCCAGCTCAGGCCGTCTGAGAGTTCAAGGCAGCTTGACATCAAAAAGCCCTTGCAGACAGCTTTTAAGCTTGGTTTGTGACCTCTTTAACATGTCAGCGAAGAGCTCTCTGGGCACTCAGTGAGCTCTCTGGAATACCACCGCCTCTCTACTTCCAGTGCAAAAGCTGAAAGAGAGAGAATCACACCTTTTGATCTTCACACACACCCACAAAAAAACAAGCCATGGAAAAGAACTTCATTCCTCAAGCCTCGATTCCTCTGAGAGGCCCACTGTCCACCTGCTGCAGCATTGAGCAGGACTGAGGTCCCGTTAGCAGGGTGTGCCTCCTCACCCAGGATAATCCTCCTGCAGTGCTGACAAAGAGGATGGCAGGACCCCATTTTACACTAAAGGGAACTAAAGCTCAGTGATGTGAATGACTATCCAAGTTCACCTGGCTGGGGCTGTCCTCAGGTTCTTCTCTTCCGCCCCAGCTGTCAATTGCCAAAGCACTGGTTTCATGTTCCCACTCCATCAGAAAACCTATCCCTGAAGAGCAGGTTGGATTTTCTTGGCTTGGAAAGTAGCTGAGGGCGGGGGATCTGAGATCCCTGTTCTCACCCTCCCTCTGGGACTGTCCCTATGGGAATGGGATTCATGCAGCATTGTGTGTGCTCTTGTGATAAGCGTTGGTGACTCCTCCTGTACCAAAGACTGCACCCAAGTTTTTCCTTTGACCACAAAGTTCCCCTATACTTCCAGCCACTTCTCATTGCCTCCAGCTTTCACCATGTGAGACCTGACCCAAACCGTTCTCCAGGAAACCAATGTCACCAAGGAAAGAATAGGAGTCTGGAGAAAAAAAAAAAAAAAACAGAGGCTGATTTTTCAAACATCTCTGGAGGTTCCAAGAACCTTGGCACTACCCTAGGAATTACCTTCTTGTGTGATTACATTGCAGATTGCCAACCATACCTGCCTGATTTAAACAAGCATCTTTTGAGGACTTGCAACATGGGACGCAAGCATCATAGCCTTGGAGAGGCACAGTGGTTTGCTTTAATTCATGTAATTGAGATGGGGCGCAAGTCCTGGTAGAATCCTGACTCTTCATCTCGCTACCTTTCCCAGATTCCAGCCTGGGGTTCCACTATATGTGTTCATTTCCCATTCCACCCCTAGGCTTGAATGCCACAGAGTAACTTGAGAATGTCACAGGCCACTCTGAGAGACATTCCAAGGTGGGAAATGGGTGTCGTTCTCAAGAGTTCTCCTCATAGCCACCAGATGGCGCTGCTGGTCCGGAGTTGTCCGGCCTTCGGAGGAACAAAGACCTGGAGCTCCCCTTCCTCCAGAGGGAAAACTATTTCACTGGCACACACCCTGTGTGTGTCTCCCCTGGGAAAGGATTCTTGGAGTCCAACAGTCCTCTGTGAGCTTAATAACCTCCTTCCGTTCCCAGAAGCGTCTCCTTAATTGGGCGTGTCCCTGCAGGCATTAAAATCCCAACTCCCTCTTCTAAGATCCTTCCAATCAAGCTCCTGGGGAAAGTCGCACAGCATTGTAGACCTCAGGTCCTATAGGAGGCGACGGAGGCCAGAGGCTTAAGTGTGTGGTTCAGTGTCCCACAGCTGAAAATGGCTCAGCTATGGGGGGAGCCCAGGAGTATGGAAGGCCCATTCACTCTGTTCCACCCTCAACACTCATTCCCCAACCTGTTTTCTTCTCCTCCAGCCTCCACCTCCACCGCAGGCCCAGACAGGATGGTCCCATCCTAGGAATATGCTCCTGATCCTGGGCCTTCCAGCTCTATTATTTAGGCTGGAGTTTCCATCAGCTCCCTTTGTCTTGTCCCAGGGTATGCTCCCTTCCCTTGGTTCATGGGAGCTGATTTTGCAGGCTACCCACCTTTCTGCCCTGCTGCTACCTCTACATTCCCCTTTTGCCCTTTAAGATCTCTAACTTCTCTTGTGGGTTCACCCCCAAATAGAAAAATCAACATTTTAAAACTCCAGAGTGGGATTTGGGAAATAGCTCAGTGGTAGGGCTTAAGTGTAGCGTGTGTGAGGCCCCGGGTTCAGTCTCCATCACCCAAAGCAAAATAGAACAAACACCAAAACCAAAGGTCTTAGCCCTCCGCCTTGCCCTGTCCCTGATTTTCCCTAAGGTGGGACCCCAGCAAAGCTCCTCATCATCCTCTAGCCTCTCCAGGATCCCATAAGCCCCTCTCCCAGGAGATCCCTGGGCCGAGACCAGGTTAGTGTTAGTGGGGACGGGATGGGCAGGCACTCAATTGTCTCAGGGAGTCATCTGCTTTCTAGGCCTCCAGGCTGGGCACCCCCAGGAAGGTCACCAAGCTCCTCCCCACAGGGTCGGGATCCTTGGTAACTCCCAGGGCCATTGGTCCTGACCTAGGAATTCAACCACATTCCACATGACCCTGAATGGGTCTGGGGAGGGAAATCATCTATTGCTTATTTGGAGACACAATTTACTGAAAACTTGTCATGAACCAAGATTATCCTGCTTTATTTTCTTTCTTTCTTTTTTGGTGCTGAGGATTGAACCCAGTGCCTCACATGTGCTAGGCAAGTGCTCTACCACTGAGCCACAACCCCAGCTACTATCCTGCTTTAAAAAAAACCGACTCAGAGAGGTGGCTTGACTGATCCGAGTAGTTGGTATGAGAAGTAGGATTTGGCCTGCTGTGTTGGCACATGACTGTAATCCCAGCAATTTGGAAAGCTGAGGCAGGAGGATCACAAATTCAGCCAGCCTGGGTAATTTGGTGAGACTCTGTCTCAAGATAAAAAGTTAGAAGGTCTAGGGATGTAGCTCAGTGGTGAAATGCCCCTGGATTCAACCCCGAGTACTAAAAGAGAAAAAAAAAAAAAAAGAATTTGAACTCAAATCTGACCAACAGCAAACACCTGGCTCTCTCTCTCCCTGGCACCCAGCTCTCTCCCTTGCTGACACAGTAGCTACCATCACTCCCCAGCCTGGTTTTCCATTCTAGCCATCAGAGATGATTTTTCTATTTCCTGGCCTGTAATTCAGGCCTCCAGGCTTGACCGTGCCCCAAGGGTCAGACACAGCAAACTGAGAAGGCAGATGAGCACATTGTCTCATTTGAGGGAACTCATCCCACTAAAATAAACCCTGATGTTAAAACCAGATGCCATAAACAGTTCTTATCTCCATCTTCCGCCCCCTGTGGTGCTGGGATCTAACCTAGGGCCTTTGCCTACTAGGTAAATGCTGCATCACTGAGCTACGTTCCCAGCCCGTCATACATTTTTTAAATGGCACACAGTTTGGAACAAAACCTAAAGCAACCGTAAGCGTCAAGGTGCCAGTACGCCAGCTAATCCCAGAACTTCAGCAACAGAGGGGGTCAGAAGGTCCCTGACATAGAGCCCCTGAGGGCTCATATCAGCTCTCAACAGAGGCAGAATGAGAAAACAGGGAGAAGTTGTAGCTCTTGAATTTTGCTTAGAATCCTGGTGGCCCTTGCTGGTGTGTGGCCCTGGGAGTTACCACTCTTTACTGAAGCCCAATTCTTCTTTTGTGAGATGGGCTTCTCCCCTTCAAGCCCACCCAACTACTCTGTTGTCTCTGGGCTCTTTGGAGAAAGGTAAGGAAACTCAGGCTGCATTTTGGATAATGCAATGGGGCTATCCAAGGAGACTACAAATAGGTGGTCCAGAGGCCAGACAGGCTACTGCTTCTGCTGACCCTAGAATTGTGCTTCCTAGATTCATAACGTAAATCTCAGGGTGGGTACAGCATTTATAGAGATTGGGAGACTTTATCTAAAAGTTCAAAATTGTTGTCTTTTTTGTAGAATTGGTCCATGATGGACTATGTCCCTGGATGGAGACAGTGGCCCAGATCTGAGTAGTTACTGTCCCTCCAGGCCCCGTACACACTCTCCAGCCACTCCACGCGCTGTCTGGGCCTTGATCTCAGGTTACTTGCCTAGCCCTGTGGCCCTCTGAATCTGGGTCTCCCTGGGAGACACCCTCATTTCACTGATAGTAGGTGGAGAAGGAAGAGATGTGGGGGCTGGACCCCACCACTTGTCCCCTTCTATGTGATCCCTTCAGGATAAGAAATTGAGCACAGAGAGAATGGAGAGGGCAAACTGTGCCTTTGGGGAAAGGGTGTCCTGGGGAAGAGGGAGGTACACCAAGAAAGAGACTGATGATAAAAAGGGAGAAAGGAGAGTTTTCAGGAAAGGGGAATCATGGTCCATGGCATCCAATGCCACTGAGAGGGAAAGGAAAACAGACAAGATGCCCCTGGATTTGGCAATCAGGAGGCCCCAGGGATAGCCAGGTCAGTGGCTTAATGGACAGAGTAAGCAGGGGACCTACTGCAGCCAGATGCTTGTGTGGCAAGTTTTGCATTCACATCTTTTCAGTGGAGGATTTGGGCTCAGAGAGGGCAAGAGACCTGTCCATGGTCACAGAGCCTGCAAACTTATCTCCAACTTTCCCATCTTAGCCCCCAACCTCAGGCTGTTTTCCTAGATGCTCTATTTCACTTTCTTCTTAATATAGGTTTCCACTTCCATGTCCAGGGCAGAGGCCAATGCCAGCCAGACCTCTGGAAATGCCACCATGGAGAAATGTAAGTACCTGCAACATGGGAGGTATCCTACATGGCAGGGGCAGCTACAGAGCTGCCCAACCATGTGTCGTCCAGCCCCAGGAAAGACAGCTGTCCATCAGTCCAGCTCCTGGGCTTGGGTCAGGGCTGGTGACCCAAGAGGTGGGGCCTTAGGCTCACAGCCCAAGGGGTAGCAAATGTGGGATTGGGGGTCAGCTCTCAGCGGTTGACACCACCTCCTGCAGGCAACCACATCTTTGTGGACACGGGGCTGCCTGACCTGGCTGTGGGACTCATCCTGCTGTCTGGCTCCCTGGTGCTCCTATGTACCTGCCTCATCCTCCTCGTCAAGATGCTCAACTCCCTGCTCAAGGGCCAGGTGGCCAAGGTCATCCAGAAGGTCATCAACACTGGTGAGCCATGAGCAGTGGGTGGGAAGACTGCAGGACAGGGCTTTGGGCAGGGCTCCAAAATGGCTCCTTCCAGATCCTGCCAAGTCCTGCCACTGCCTAGATCTGGGCACACCCCTACCATCTGTGAGCCTCTTTCCCGGTGTGAACAAAGAAGGGTTTGAACTGGGTAACTCTGGAAATTCCTGAGGTTCTGACAGCTGAGGAACTGGGGCTGCCTCTGGCTGTAATTCCATTCTAGCTGGTGGAGATTCCCAGAGGCCATCATTTAATTCAGTCGACAAATAGACGTTAGTCTCCTTCTGCATGCCACAGGATAACAGGGGTGAGGCAAGTAGAGATGGATCCTGATCTCAAGGGGCTCTCAGCCCAGAAGGGGAAGATGGGCAGTGCAAAATAAATGAATGAGGGGGATAAATTTGGAGTAAGGGCAAGGTAACTGCAAAGGGGAGAACAAAATTGGCAATGCAATAGAGTATGGAAAAGGTGCTTTTCAAGGGACGGTCAGAGGTCTCTGAAGGAGACCTTGAGCTGAGGCTTAAATGTAGCTCATACTAGAGCACTTGTCTAGCATGGGTGAGGCCCTGGGTTCAGTCTTCAGGAAGAAAAAGAAAAAAACAAATGTGGAGAAGAACATTCCAGATGAAGAGAACAGCACGTGCAAAGGCTCAGAAGCAGGACCCAGCTTGTCTGGTTTGTGGTACAAACAGAGGGTGATGGGAGCAGAAGGGCTCTGTCTCTAGGCAGAATGAGGTCAGGATGAGGAGGAAGCCAAATCTCAGGGCCTCTAGGCTCTGCTCCCAGCCTGGACTTTGCTGTAGGTAATGGGAAAGCACGCAGGCTTTGGGGCAGGGGAGTGACATCAGCTGATTTTCATTGTTCACTTCATTTTGAGCTTTGGGGATGCTGCTTGGTACTAGGAGAGGCTGAATGACATGTGGGAACAGGGAGCTCAGAGAAGGAAAAAGCAAAAAGGGTGGGCTATGGGGGGAGTCAGGGAGGGCTTCCTAGCAGGCGGGTGCTATCTGAGCTGAGCCTGAAGCTAAATATAGTTGACCCTCTGTATCTCTGGGATCTAAGTCCACAGATTCAATCAACCATGGATCACCAATATTCAGAAAAATAATGGCATGTGCCCTGAACATATGCAAACCTTTTTATTTTCATTATTCCATAAACAATACAATACAACAGATATTTTCATAGTCTTTCCATTCTATTAAATAGTATAAGGAATCTAGAGATAAGTTAAAGTATATAGGAGGTTGTATATAGGTTATATGTAAATACTATGTCATTTTAAAATTTTTTTTTAATTTATTTTTATGTAGGTACCAGGGATTGAAGCCAGGGGCCACACCCTTTTTTAATATTTTATTTTGAGATAGGGTCTCACTAAATTGTTAGGGCCTAAGCTAAGCTGCTGATGCTGGCCTCGAACTTGTGACAATCCCACCTCAGCCTCCCAAGCTGCTGGGATTACAGACATGCACCACCACGCCTGGAAATTCTATACCACTTTATTGAAGGGACTAGAGCATCCATGGCTTTTGGTATCCACAGGCATCCTTGACCCAACCTTCATGGATGTTAAAGGATGACCATATTTAGATGCTGACTAGGATATTCTGGGCAGAGGGAACAACTGGGGCATGGTACCATGACGGCACCAAGCAAGAGAGGTCTCTAACGCAAGATCAAAGATGGGGAAGTGGAAGTCACTGAAGTTGAGCAGGGGACTGGCATCCAAATACCTCCCCCCAAAGAGGGAGCCTATTCTCCCAGTGCTCTCCCACTGACCCTGCCTGCTGGGATGGGATTTCCTTGCAGACTTGCCTGCCCCCTTCACCTGGGTCACAGGCTACTTTGCCATGGTGGTAGGCGCCGGCATGACCTTTGTTGTCCAGAGCAGTTCTGTGTTCACGTCGGCCATAACCCCACTCATCGGTAAGTGCCTGCGCTGAATAGCAGGGGAGGGGGGCTGGGAGGGGAAGGGCTGAAGGAGGAGGCTGGGGAGGCCCTGTATCCTCTCCCCCTGCCTGCCAGGACTGGGTGTGATCAGCATCGAGAGGGCCTACCCGCTCACGCTGGGCTCCAACATTGGCACCACGACCACGGCCATCCTGGCTGCACTGGCCAGCCCCAAGGAGAAGCTGTCCAGCTCCTTCCAGGTGCGTTGGGAGAACAGCCCTGCCTGTGGCTGGGGCTGGGGTGCAGTGCCTGACCATGGGTGTGACCACATATAACAAATATTTTGGACTGCATACTGAGGCTACCCAAAATGATCCCTGGAAAGCCATTATGGGAAAGTAGGCTTGATTCCCACCTCGAGACCTGGGCATTGGAAACATTGCTCAATAATCACACCAAAAGTAATAGCAAGCTGGACTTGCGCTATAAGAAGTGCTATGAGAAGGCAGGGTGTGGTGGCCCACGCCTGTTATTCTGGTGGCTCAGGAGACTGAGGCAGGTGGTCCCAAGTTCAAAGCCAGTCTCAGCAACTTAGAGAGGTCCTAAGCAACTCAGCAAGACCCTGTCTCTAAATAAAATATTAAAAAGGGCTGGGGCTGGGGCTGAGTGGCTAAGTGCCCCTGGGCTTAATCCTCAGTACCAAAAACAGTACTGTAAGAGGAGACCTGGCCCAGTCTGGGGGATCATGGATGAGTATAGTTGGGGGGAAGAGGCAGATGGCAAAGGGGAAATTGTTCTAGAAGCCACCCAAAAAAGACACTGACCAATTAAGAGCCCAGAATGGTGAGCCAGAAACTAGTATTTATCTTTTGGCCACTGGATTTTGGCAGTATTTGTTGGGGAATTCCTGAGAGAGGGGTCAGTAGGGACAAAAGTTGAGGGCAGTGGTTATTTACCAACTAGTCCAGAAGTATCTTAATATTTTAATAACCAGTGCAGCCACTCTGGCGCCACTTGTAGGCATGTCAGCTCTCAATAGTGGCTTTCCTGCTGCCCAGATGAGGTTGGGCTCCTTAATAACTGTCCCTGTTGACCTGACATGGCAGGCCCTGCCCCCCTCAGCCCCTCCCCTCCTTCCCTGCAGATTGCTCTCTGCCACTTCTTCTTCAACATCTCGGGCATCCTGCTGTGGTACCCGCTGCCCTGCACGCGCCTGCCCATCCGCATGGCCAAGGCTCTGGGCAAACGCACCGCCAAGTACCGATGGTTCGCTGTCCTTTATCTCCTCGTGTGCTTCCTGCTGCTGCCCTCGCTGGTGTTTGGCATCTCCATGGCAGGTTGGCAGGCCATGGTAGGTGTGGGTGCACCTTTTGGGGCCCTGCTGGCCTTTGTAGCATTCATCAATATACTGCAGAGTCGAAGTCCTGGACGCCTGCCCAAGTGGCTGCAGACGTGGGACTTCTTGCCCCGCTGGATGCACTCCCTGCAGCCCCTGGACCGCGTCATCACCCGTGCCACCTTGTGCTATGCCAGGCCTGAGCCCCGCTCACCCCAGCTGCCTGCCAGGGTCTTCCTGGAGGAACTGCCCCCTGCCACACCCTCCCCCCGCCTTGCACTACCTGCTCACCACAGTGCCACCCGCCTCTAGGCTGCAGGACCAGACTAATTCCTGGAATAGGGAAAGGCCTGTGAAAGAACTCAGCGTGGAAGGGCAAAGGTGTGTGTGAGTATGCGCGCGCGTGTGTGTGTGTGTGTGTGCACGCATGCATGTGGTACATGCCACCTTGTGTGTGTGCCTGTCCTTATGCTGGTCCATCGAGGTCTGGGCTTGTGACTGAGAGGCAGTGTTCATGTGCACGTGTGTTTGGGGTCTGTGTCTATGTGTATAGGTGGAGAAGCCTGTATTTGTGTACACGTGTATGATCCCATGCATGTGCAAAGACATACCAGTGGGAAGCTATGTGCAGGTTCCAGGGGATCTGGGTATGATTTTGAGTCCTTGGCATGTGTGCATGGAGGCCTGCACTTGTGTCCCTGTGTACACAAGACTGGTTACCACGGACAGGAGTAAGGGTGGCTCTGAATGGGTGACTGTGTGGCTGTTTGCTTGTGCTCATTTGTGGGTGCCTGAGTCACTGATTGAATTTCAGCCCCTCTGTGCCACCTTCTTTCCCCCATGACACCATTCTCCTCATCCCCATCCAGGGCTTCAGCACCACCACTATAATCCTTTCCCACCCCTGCCACATGAAAAAGAGAAAGGAATTAAAATTTCATTATGCATTTGGAAGTCTTTTTTTTTTTTAATGGACACAATACCTTTATTTTTATGTGGTGTTGAGGATCAAACCCAGTGCCTCACCAGTGCCTTATACATACTAGGCAAGCACTCTACCATTGAGCCACGTCCCCAGCCCTGTTTTGTATTTTGAGACAGGGTCTCACTGAGTTGCTTAGCACCTTGCTGTTCCTGAGGCTGGCTTTGAACTCGCCATCTCCTGCCTGAGCTTCCCGAGTTGCTTAGGATCACAAGTGTGTAACACCACACCCAGCGGTGGACCCTCTTTTGAGGCATAGTAGGGAGATTCAGGTGCCTAGTAGCTCCAGAACTGCTCTCAAGCAACCACACCCATCCTGTCACCCATTCACAACATTTGCTGGTGTTCCACCAAGTGGAAGGGGTGGAAGTACAGCCTGGACCTCTGTATCCACAGGTTTTGCATCTGCTGATTCAGCCCACTGTGGATTGGAAAATATTCTTTAATTACATCTGTACTGATTATATATATATATATATATATATATATATATATATATATATATATATATATATATATAATTTCTTTACCCTTATCCCTTAAAAACATAGTATAGTAGCCAGGCATGGTGGTTCATGACTATAATCCCAGCAACTCCAGAGGCTGAGCAGGAGGATTGCAAGTTTGAGGCCAGGCTCAGCAACATAGAGAGAACCTCAGCAACTTAGCAAGACTGTCAAAAAAAAAAAAAAGAAAAAGAAAAAGAAAAAGAAAAAGGATTAGCCAGACATGGTAGCACATGCTTGTAATCCCAGCAATTCTGGAGGCTGAGGTAGGAGGATTGCAAGTTGAAAGCCACCCTCAGCAATTTAGTGAGGCCCTAGGCAACTCAGTGTAACCCTGTCTCTAAATAAAATACAAAAAAGAGCTGGGGATGAGGCTTATTGGTTAAGTGCCCCTGGGTTCAATCCCCAGTACCAAAAGTTAATAAAAATTTTTAAAAGGACTAGGAATGTATCTCGGGGTAAGGTGCCCCTGGATTCAATTCCCAGTACAAAAAAAAGAAAAAAAGCCAGTATAGCAACTATTTCCATAGCATTTAAATTGTATCATACAGTACAAGTCATCTAGAATGACTTGAAGTACACAAAATACTATGTCATTTATGTAAGGGACTTGAGCATCTGAAGATGTTATTACCTACGGAGGTTCAGGAACCAATCCCCAAGGATACTGAGGGACTACTGTACACTAACCTCAAGGCTGAAATTTTAAAACCACAGGCCCTAGCTGATGTGTGCCTGGGGAGAGGTCTCCACATAATAATGGGGACTCCTTTTACTGTTTGTCCTGCCTAGATGATTTGGTTTCTGTAGGAAAAAATGAATGTAAGGCCTGAGGCAGAGAAGCCCTCTCCTTGGACTCCTTCTCAACTGTGGGGTCCTCCCCAGGATCTTGGAAGGCGCCTAAAAGCAGCAGTCAGGTAGAGGCCTCTGCAAGGCATCCATGAATGGGTGGGTAGCAGACTGGGCAGCCTCTAGATTTATAACCCCAACCCCACTAGGAATTGTTTTGCAAGGATCTTCCCATAAACCGGTTTCTGTAGTTGCAAATCCCCATGAGAACCAGAGGATGAGCCCACGACAACCATTCAGAGTTTATTCTGGTCCCGCTACCACCTGGGGCAGCCTGGCTGTTGTGCTAAGCGCCCTGCGTGCACAGCCCGCGGATCAGCTCGTGCACAGTCTTGTTGAGGATGCCACCGTGCACGCCGCGTCTGCCCATCAGCACGAGGAGCGCGCGCGGCGTGTGGCCCACGCAAATGGCGCGCGTGTCCAGCCCCTTGGTGCGCGCGTCCAGCACGCCGTCTCCCTCTGCCAGCAGATAGTCGCGGATGACGCAGCAGCGGCGGCCAGCCAAACTCAGGCCCGCCTGCAGGAAGGCCTGCCGGTCGGGCCCAACAAGCACGCCCACCTCCTGCGGCGAGATGGCAGCCAGCAGGCCCCCGGGTCGCGATGCCCACACGCAGCGATTGTCTGAGTGGCCCACGATGGCTACGTCGTCGATGCGCTGGTCTCGCAGCACTGCACTGATGTAGCCCTTCCAGTCACCCATCCTGCTCAGTGCGTCCCTCCGTCTCGCGCTTGGGAGGGATGTCCTGCTGTGCGGAGGGCTAGGACGCCTGCGGCGCTATGACGAAAGCGGGGGCGGAGCCGTGGCAGGAGACAACGCCACGTGTGGCATGAGGCGACGTCACAGAGAGTCTACCTAGGCTAGAGAATGTGGGGGCGTTCGCTTATTACACGAGTTGAAGTTCTAAAGTTAGCTTGTAGGATGGAATCCAGGACTCAAGAGACCCTCGAAAAACCAACTTAAATGGCCCACTTAAAAGATGGGTTTAAGAACAAAAAGAAAGATGCATGTCTGGACCGGACTTCTCAGCCTGTAAGGGAAACATTCGATCCCTAGATGGCGTTCTCAAGATTCAGAGAACACCCAAAACCCTGGAAGGCTGCGGGATTGCTGGGTCCCACCCTGGAGTTTCTAGTATAGAATGTAGCCTAAGAACGTCCTTGTCTAATAAATTCCTTGGCGAGGCTGCTGCCCTGGTGAGAGTTTGGGTGGGTATTCCAAGTTCCCAGGGCTGGGGTCCACACCAGTGTTTTAATATTAAGCATTTCTAACCATTGTTCTTAATCTCAGCTGAACGTGAAATCATCTGAGTTTTAAAAACATACCACTACTCATCCCATTCCTAGAGATACAGATTTAATTGGTCTCAGGTGGATCTTGAGCATAGTAGTTAGGCTCAAAATTCCCCAGATGATCCCGATGTGAGTAGTCAAAGCTGAGAACAGTTGTTCTGTAAGCTTAAAAGTTTCAGTACCTTATGAGGAATAGCAGTCACCTTGCATAGGGATTGGTACGCGGTAAACATGACTTGGACAAGAATCTCAAATCTCTCATGTTAAGATCTCACAGATCCTGTTCTGTGAGGGCAGGGGAGGAGCTGTGTGCAGGTTTATTCTCTTGACATTTCCAAAGGGGACCCCCAAGGGCATTTTCAAAGCATTTTATTGAGTTTCTGTGCCCCTGGCACCTGGCTGGTGGCACTGGGAGGAATGTGGCACAATCTTTAGTCAGTGTTCATTACCCAGCCACCCTCCCACTAGGAGGGAAAGACGAATCCCTGGGTAGTTAGGAAACTATGTGCTCCTGGATCCAATCCACGTAGCTGGCCACGTCGGTGTAGACGCCGGGCTTGTTGCGGTCGCCACAGCCGGAGCCCCAGCTGATGACGCCTCTCAAGGTGAGCCGGTTCTCTGCAGCCTGGTCCTCACACACCAGAGGGCCCCCGGAATCACCCTGTGTCGGGAACACGCAGTTCAGTGCCTTGGCCTTGAGCTTAACTGGCCGGGGAAGGCACCAGCCAGGCCTCAGGACTCACCTGGCACGCGTCTGTGCCACCCTCGAGGAAGCCAGCGCAGAGCATTCCAGGGAGGATAGCATCCCCGTGCACTTCAGAGGCGGAGCAGTGCTCCTGAGAGATGAAAGGCACCTGCGCCTCCTGCAGGAAGGTGGAATAATCCTCCGCCCCTGAAAACCCAGAGCAGATTTTCTTAGAGCACTGGCCTGCACCAGGCTTCTGCCCCCACCGTTACCCTTCCTCCCTCACAGCAAGCCCGAGGGGGGAGGAAATGCCTCAATTTCTCAGGCAAGGAAACTGAGGCCCAGAGAGGAGCTGGGAATTGAATGGGCGGGGCCGAATCAGGAACACCACCTGTCCCTCCCATCCAGTGACTCAGATCTTGGCTATCCAAGTAGTTTGCTCGCTGCTCCAAAGCTGGGACGGTATCCTAGTAAGTCCTTGCAGCCCAGCACCACCCAGAAGGAACCAGGGGAAAGTCGATTCTCCCTGTCTCCCCAAGAGATGTGGGGACCTCAACAGTGAATCCCAAACTCTGGGAAGAGCGGACTACAGGGACAAGGACCCTGCACGCTTTCACAGCCCGTCAGGTCTGTGCTTCTTCTGCCACAGTTGAGGGCTTCTCTGGCTTATCCCGGTGTCCAAAGCTTTCACGCTCGCCCCCAGGTGTTGTACGTACCCTCGTACTGGTGGCCCCAGCCCGCCACTTGGCAAAGCATGTCCTCGGGCTCGGAGGTTTGGGCAGTGCCGCTGGGTAGGCACACTGGCTGAACGTAAGGTGAGAGACGCGCGCAGCTGCCGTCCGCGCTCTCCTGAAGGCGCAGCAGAGCTAACCCGGTCGGCAAGAACGTTAGTTAGGAGGAGGCCCTGGGACCTGAGACCTTCCCACATTTTGTCCCCAACCCCGCAGCAGCGCCCCCACGCACCCAAGTCGTGCTGATAGGTGTTGGACGAGAAGGCCTCGTGGAGGCGGTAGGAGCGCACGCCCAGCGTCTGGCATTGCTTACAGGTCTGGTTATGGAGTTCCTGGCCGAGCACTACCGTCAAGTCCTCCGGCGCCGGCCTGCGGGCGGGGAGTGGGGGAGAGGCATCGTGCTCACAGCCGGCCACAGGCGTGCTGGGGGAGCATCCTGCTCTGGAACCTTTTCCTCGATTTCAGCTCCCTTCAAGGGAGCTCCAGAGGAGCGGAGAAAATAGGGTACAGGTTCAGGCGTGGCGCAGAAGCTGGGGTCAGGATAAAGGAGCGGGCTAGGGTTCCCGGAGGGGCGCTGGGGGGCGGGTACTCGCCGGTTCTGCAGGCAGTGAGCCGCGGTCAGCACCCAGCAGGGGGCGATGAGGCTGCCGGCGCAGAAACTGTCGCCCCAGTACAACGCTGCGATGTAGGGATGTGCCCCGGGCAGCGCCACTAGTCCGCCCACAACTCGACTCAGCGGGGACAGGCTCTTCCGGAGCCGCTGTCCGCAGCTGGGAGGGCTGGTCCTAGACAGGCGAGTTGGCTGCTTCGAGGGGGCTGTGGGAAGAGCCCAGGCTGAGGACTGGGAGACCCATGGCCGGTTGGCGGAATCTAGCTGGCCCTGTGGCCTCTTTGCTCGGACTTCTTTGCTCTTTCTAACTTAACTACCTGGGGTCAGGGAATGAGGCGGGGACTGGGTCGTGGGCTGAGGCTTTTGCAGTGCTGAAGGCTGGGGCATGGGCAGGTCCTGACGCCCAAGGGCGTCCATGAGTGGAGGTGCTGCCTGGATTGTGGCCCAGCACTGTGCCAAGTCGCAATACTCCCAGCTCAGCCGGTCACCTTTCCAGACAAAGCACCACGGGCGGGTATCATTATCCGGGTTCCTGCAATCTCAAGAGAGGGCATTGTTAGAGAGTGGGGGAGCTCCCCAGGGCCCTACGCTGGAAGGGGTTGCCCTTCCCCGCCCCATCCAGTCAGTGCACCGGCAGAAGGTGTGGTGACCCAGTCCCCGGCTTAGTGCTTGCTCTGCAGTCACGTTCCTGTAGGTGGCCTCGGAGTCCCACCGCTGACAAGTTGCACCGGAGAGAGTGGTCCTGGCCTTGCCACGGTAGCTAAGCCCACGGTCATGGTAGCAGTTTGCCTCAACATCTAGGGAGTGAAGGGGCTTCCTGAAGCTAGGGGAAGGATCTTGTCCACTTTTCCATTCTCCTCTGCCCTTCTCTGGCATGCCCTTCCCACATGGGGGCTGACTTCCTGCTTGCCTTGAGCCCTGCACTCACCCAAGTCACAGAAGGGTCCGGTATAGCCCACTGGGCAATGGCACAGGCTTTGTCCTTCGGCCTCCAGGCAGCGGCCCCCATTGAGGCATAGGTTGGTGTGGCAGGCTGGGGAAAGGAGCAAACTGAGCCTCCCCTAGGCACACCACCCAGCCTCCCACCAGTCTTTTGATCAGCCCTCCTCCACAGTCAGCTCCCAATCAATCCTCTTACCATGGCTGGCCAGTGACTTGCAGTGAGCATCAGGACCTTTGCAGTGGCATTTGGCCACACCTGCTGGCCCAGGTCTAAGCCATATCTCATTCTCATGGAAGAACCGGAGAAGCTGAGGCTCAAAGCACTTCTCTGGGGACAAAAGGGCTAGGTCTTCAGAGAGGCTGGGATCATGACAAGTCTCCAGGGATACGGAGACCTCTTCAGCAGGCCTGGGGCTGCCTCTGTTCCTCAGTGTCCCCTCCCCTGGCAGACAGCACCTCCTTACCTTTCTGGCAGTGCTTCCCAGTGAGGTGTTCCGGACAGAGGCAGTGTGGTCCTTTCGGCATATTCACACATGTCCCTCCTTTGTGGCAGGGGCTGTGTTTGCTGCAGTGGTCTGAGAGATAGAATGGGGAGCCCAACTCACACAGGTGGGGGCCAAGTCCCTACCTGAACCTATTTGTCATAGGTCATTGAGACTCCAATTTTCCAAGCCTTAGTTTATTCATTTGCAAAATGAGGCTATTCCTTCCCAGAACTCTCCCTCTGAGCTTCTGAGGGGTATTGTTGAGGGAGAAGAGGGACTAGGCCCTGAATCCCAGGCATGTGGGATCTGATGATAGCCAGGAGAGGAATTAGAGGGATGTAGAGGGTCCTGGGCCACCCAGAGTTTGTGTGCAGTACCTTTCACTTTCTTGGGCTCCATGCAGTGTGCCCATTGCTGGTCCTGATCAAAGTTTGGGGTGGTAGCACACCTGCAGAAACACAGGCTCTCCTGCTTTGCCCTGGAGGCTAGCCCCACCCCACCCCTAGCTTCCTCTCTCCAAGCAGGGTTTCTTGGACAGAACAAGGGGCAAATTCCATGGATCCCAGACCCAACCCCCGTTGGGGAACCTTACCAGGGTCTGGGGCCTGGCCAGCCTTTGTGGATACATTTGTGGTACAACTGCCGATGGTACTGGAAGGGGAAGTGGCAGGGCTCCCCAGTGACAGTAAGAACTGTAGGAATAACACACTTCCTGAGAACTTCCCCTGTGCCCAGTTGCCCAGACTCCACCTCATGGGGTCCAACTGGAAAATATCATTGTGTGCTCAGGACAGCATTCTGCTTAAGAAGCTGGATTCTAGAGTTAGATAGCTGGAACAGATTCCTAACTTCACCACCTACTAGCTGTGGGAACTTGAGCAAGCCTAGAAGAGTGCCTGCCACAAAATTAGCACTTAATAAATATTTGTTGAGCATCAAAGCCACTTAACCATTTTGAGCTTTTGGTTTTCCCATCTGTAAAATGGCAAAGATAATAGTATATAGTTGATCCTCCTTATTCACTGATTCCATATTTGCAAATCTGCCTACTTGCCAAAATTTATTTGTAACCCTCAAATCAATACTTGCGATTCAGGCTGGGAGTGTAGCTCAGTGGTGAAGCATTTGCTCAGGGTCCTTGGTTCAATCTCCAACAACACATACACACACACACACACACACACAAGATGGTTGATTGTGGGCATGCCCAGAGCAGAGACAAATTTGCGCATTCCCAGCTGAGGTCCAATGAGGCGATATTCAGCTCTCTTTCAGCTCTTATACTATTAACAAGTGTCCTTTTCATCGTGTGTTTAGTACAGTGTTTTCTACATTGTGCTTTTTTGTGGGTGATTTTATCACTGGAAATACCCCCCACACACACACACACAAACCTATGCTGAAGTGCTGTCTATTGTTTCAAAGTGCGA